ACACACACACACACACACACACACACACACACACACACACACACACAAAATACGAAGGGAAAAACTCCACAGAGAAAAGCTGTCTGCGGTTTGAGCTAGGCATGGTGGCACACATTGGCCATCCCAGCTCTCTGGATTGAAGGTAGGAGATGAAGATAGGACCATCTCTAGATAAAGAAAGGCCAGCACTGGTTCCCTAATAAACAGTCTTAAAAACTAACACAAAGGGCAGTGGTTTGGTGGTTCAGGGCACCTGCTACTCTTCCAGAGGACCTAGGTTAGGTTCTTAGCTCTCACATTGAGCTGCTTAAAAATTCCCGTGACTTCCCATGACTTCCATGGCAGGGGAATCCTTTTCTGGTGTCTGAGAGCCCCAGGCACACACCTGTTGCACACACATACAGGATAAATAAGTATCTGTTTAAATGCAAGTAAACAAAAATTCCTCAGTACTGTTCCCTTTCTCCAAAGGTTCTTTTGCTTTGTTGCTTTGGGGTGGGGTTTTTGTTTTGAGTCAGGGTCTCACTACATAGCCCTGGCTGGCTTAGAATTCGCAGAGATCTGCCTGCCTCTGCAGATCTCTGCCTCTCCATGTTGGCATTCAGCTTGTGTACCCCACCACACCTGGCTATGATTTTTTTCTCACAGAAAGCTTCAAATGCATAACACAGTAAACATGGAAGGTACTGAGAGCCATGTGTTCAGCTCCTTGTCTTAAGGGTCCTTAACATGACTCTTACCATTTATACCTCTTCTCATTTCCCTTTGTACTCTCTTTTTTTTAAAGAAAGATAAGTATTTTTTGTGTATGGATGTTTGCTTGCATGCTTGCATGTGTGCTGCGAGTTGTGCCTGGCACCTGTAGAGGGCAGTAGAGGGCATTAGATTTCCTGGAACTGGAGTTACAGAGAGTTGTGAGTCAAGTAGGTGCTATCAATCAAACCCTGATCCTCTTCAAGAGCAACAAGTGCTCTTAACTGCTAAATCATCATTGCTCCAGCCTTTTTTTTTTTTTTTTAAGTTGGTTTTTCGAGACAGGGTTTCTCTGTGTAGCCCTGGCTGTCTTGGAACTCACTCTGTAGACCAGACTGGCCTCGAACTCAGAAATCTGCCTGCCTCTGCCTCCCAAGTGCTGGGATTAAAGGCGTGCGCCACCACTGCCTGGCCTCTCCAGCCTTTTAATTGCTTTCTTTTTTCTTCATTCCCCGATTTGTCTATCTTATACATGTATACAATATAGTCTGGTCACGGTTACCTCCATTTCCCTCTCTACATCTTCCCCTAACATAGTTTCCTTCAATATCTCATCCCCTCCCCAACCCCAGTGAGTTTAGTTAGTCCTCCCTCTGTGCACACACACAAGTGTGGGATCATGCACTGAAGCGTGGGCAACTTATCTGTGGCCACGCCCCCAAATAAAAAGGTCTTGCCCTCTTTGAGAGCTGTCACTACCATTCTCACCTCAGTTAGCCATGGGCCTTGTGAGTTGCTCCTGCACCATGCTGGAGCATTGACTGGCTTGATGGCACGTTGTTCTTATGCTAACCACAGTTGCTGAGTTTATGGGTGCAGCAGCCATGTCATGTCCAGAAGACGGCGTTTCAGAGCACTTCTTCACATCTCTGATGTGCTTTCTGTCCTCTTCTGCTGTGTCCCCTGAGGGAGCCGTGGGGATACGGATTTGTATATTTTTCCCAGTTAGTAAGGACAGTCACTCACCCTCAGCACTTGGACCAGCTTTGAGTTTCTGTATTGACTGTTGCCTGTTGTTCAAAGCTTTTCTGATGAAGGTTGATTGCAGCACAAATCTGTGAACATAAATCTATTTAGCAAGTAGTTTGTCTGCATGGCCATTTAGCAAGACAGCAGTAGAAGTTCTCCAAGGACGAGTGGTCTCCTCCCTCCCTCAGGCTTCTGCCCACCAGACTCACCGTACAGGTGTGGGTCCCTCCTGAGTAGACTTCAGAATAAAGAAAAGAGTACGTTGTTCTGGGGTTGACTGACATCTGCTCGACTTCGGTTAGGACTGTTCGGTGGGTAGCGCCACATGGCAAGAACAAGTATGAGGTTGATGAAAAAGTGCATTTTGTTCTTATACTTTTTAAGAGATGGGAACCTTGGTACGTTTTCCTACACTAGCCCTCAACTTAGGGGCTCAAGCAGTCTTCTTGCCTCCAACTCCTTCAGAGGTTACGGCCTTATATGACTATGTCTAGTGAGAAAAATGCACTCAAAGGGTAAAGTTAGAAATGTCTCTTGTAACAACCATGCCATCAGGAACTGTTCTCCACTGTTTCTTTCTGAGTGTGGCGTCCCCTTTATCTTGTATCTGGCTCACTTTTCAAAAATTCTCCTGTTTTGAGTTGCCAGTAAGGACCAAACACAGCTTTTGGGTAGACAACTCATTGCAGATCCACTGCCCTCAGTTTCCTAGATTAACATTTTGGGATTCTGTATATTATCTTCATTCTCTCTTTGTGAATCCTGTAACAAACACAGTCTTTGACACATAAGTGGTTTTAACAGAGACTATTTGTCATTAATGACTGTCTTTGTAAGGGGGGATGTCCCAGACAATCTGTACTGATGGCTCAGATGAAGCCTTACTAGGTGAATAGTACTTATGGCTTTTCAAAGACTTTATAGTTAATTTTTCATTAGTGAATCTGCTTTTGCACCATTATCAGACATTAATAGAAGTCATTTGTTTTATTTTAGTGATGTCCTTGCATTGCCCATTTTTAAGCAAGAAGAGTCAAGTTTGCCTCCTGATAATGAGAACGAGATCCTGCCTTTTCAGTATGTCCTCTGTGCTGCCACCTCTCCAGCCGTGAAGCTCCACGATGAGACCCTGACATACCTCAATCAAGGTCAGCCATGTTCTCACTTGCTGGTGCCATTGCAGCTGCTGATCTGTGTGGCGTGCTGGCCTGTATGTCACAGGTAGATGAGCAGTGTGACCCATCAGCTAGACCCTAAGGAGACCTCCATCTGTGTTCCCGACTCCTTGGTCTGCCACTCATTTCCAGCCTATGTCCCTAGGTTCTCCTGGTTGGTGTCTCCTGTCTGCTGCTCACCAGTCAAAGGGCCCTGGACAAGCTGCTTGACTTCTGTCTCACTTTCCTTATCTGTAAAATGAATTGACAGTAACTTAGAAAGTTGTGTCTATTACATGGGACAGGATATGAAAGGGCTCAGCACTAGCTCTAGCTGGCGATGAGAGTGACACACTTTCCTCCTGAATCTAGATAAGTGAATCGGGATAGGTGTCATTTGTAATTATCTCTCTTCTAGGACAGTCTTATGAAATCCGAATGCTAGACAATAGAAAACTGGGAGAGCTTCCAGAAATCAACGGCAAGTTGGTGAAGGTAAAACAGGCATAGTATTTTGTAGATTTTAGGAGGGGAGTGTTTTTTGGTTTGGTTGGTTTTATTTTTTTATTTTGTTTTGTTTTGTTTTTTTCTTGACAAAGTCTTATTATATATCCTAAGCTGGCCTTAAACTCTGTATCTTGCCTAAGTTTCGTAGAGTGTAATGCCAGGATTTCAAAACTGCACTGTCATGCATGGCTGTGATTTCTTTTCTTCTGTTTCAGGTTCTTTTGGGTCCGTAGAGGCAGAGATTAGTGATATATTTTTCTGCCACCATTGCCTGGCAAAGAGAGAAACTAATGATCTTTGGGTTCAGTGTAAGCCTTGCTGTCCTCATGGTTGTAAATTAACTATGTGGCTGTGCTTGTGTGTACATGCCAAGGCCTGAGTGTGGCAGTCAGAGGACATCTTGAAGGAGTCACTTTCTCTTCCTACCATGTGGGTCCCATGGATCGAATTCCTCCCACAGGTTCTCAGAGTTGCAGAAGCAGCAGGCTTGCAAGTCTTTGTTCTGGACAGCTTCTTCGTGAAGTTGGTTGTTGTTGTTGTTTTTTTTTTTTAAAGATTTATTTATTTAAGTACATTGTCACTGTCTTCAGACACACTAGAAGAGGGCATTGGATCCCATTACAGATGATTGTGAACTACCATGTGGTTGTTGGGTATTGAACACAGGACCTCTAGAAGAATGGTCAATGTTCTTAACCACTGAGCCATCTCTCTAGCCCCCAGTAAAGTTGGTTTTGGTGGTGTATCTTTTTTGTTTTTGTTTTTGGTTTGGTTTGGTTTGGTTTTTCGAGACAGGGTTTCTCTGTGTAGCCCTGGCTGTCCTGGAACTCACTCTGTAGACCAGGCTAGCCTCAAACTCTCAAACTCAGAAATCCACCTGCCTCTGCCTCCCAAGTGCTGGGATTAAAGGCGTGCGCTACCACCACCCAGCTGGATTTCAATTTTAATAAGGTGTGTGTGTGTGCGTGTGTGTGTGTGTGTGTATGTATGTATGTATGTATGTATGTATGTATGTATGTATGTGTGTGTGGTGCTGGGGATCAAAACCATATAGCCTAGTACACACTGGGCAGGTGCTTTACCACTGAGCTATATGTAATCCTAGCTGTTAAGTTTCTGGTTCTTTGGATAACTGCTCTTGTAACAAAAGCTAGAAACTATTGTTGATGTCTGTCCTTTTGTCTTATTACATTCTGAGTGTAGAAGAGTCAGCAGCAGCTTTTCTGTGGTTTCCTGGGGACACATGTCTGCTCAGACCTGTGTGGTCTGGTCTGAAGATATAGGTAGCATTTCTGGCAGGACAAAAAGAATATTGACTTTGCTTGCTAAATTGCATGTACCATCCAGGAGTACCTCTCCAGTGAAGAAGACCTACACACTCTTTGTCTATGAAATGAAAACTAACTAGAACAAAACCAAAAACTTCAGCAGCTACTGTTGATGGATAGAGGATTTTGTTTCTGTTCTTTGTCGACAGTAAGGATTTGGAGAACTCAAAGAATACTGGGTACAGGAGTTCTAACAGCAGCTGTAAAGGGGGTGGGGAGGTGGGCAGCTGCCTCACAGAGTGAGAGGAGCGTAAGGACAGTGGCTGGAAGTAGCCTGTGACCCCAGTGTTTATAGGTTGTGCATAGAATTGGCATGTGTGAACATGAAGGATTACACTGGATTACATGGTATGCATAGAATGCCTCTCAAGGCTGGCAGGACGGCTCAACAGGGAAGTGCTGTCCCCAAGAGTAGATGACCTTGGGACCCACATGGTGTAAGGAGAAAATCTCTGGTGTACATGCATTCCTTCCAATAAAAAGAAGAACATGTAATAAGGCTTACAAAAACAAAAAAATAAACCAAATAAATGCCAGGTGGTGGTGGTTCAGGCCTTTAATTCTAGTACTGGGGAGGCAGAGGCAAGCAGATCTGTGAGTTTGAGGACAGCCAGAGCTACACAGAGAAACCTTGTCTCAAAAAAAATTAAAGGAAAAAAAGGAACAGAAAATGTTAGATTGTGTCTAGAAACCAACTATCATTGACTCTGCTAGTTTTCTTTGTCTGAACTGGTTTTCTAGCCATGTGTGGACTGACACTGTCCTTCCTTTAGAGTATCTTCCGTGTAGTGTTCCACGACAGGAGACTGCAGTACACTGAGCACCAGCAGCTGGAGGGCTGGAGGTGGAACCGACCCGGAGACAGGATTCTTGACATAGGTGAGTCAAGAGAAGCTGTCACCCAGAAAGCACTGTCTGTGAGTGCAGAGCTGGTTCCCTAATTGCTGTCCCTTTTGATTCGTGAGCCTCAGAGGCTGAGTTAGCAGAGACATTGAAGTGGTTGTCCTGAGGCGTAAGAAAACCACGTGTAAGGCAGTGTTAGGACTGAAGTAGGATATGAACAGTAGCTCCAAAGCAGTTCAAAAAACAGCTTTTGTTTGAACTGTGGTAATATAAAATATGTGTTGGTGTATATAGTAAAAACCTAATTTTTTCCATTTTAAATAACAGTTGAATAATAAGTGCATTTACTTTGTCTACTCTAAGTAGTGGTTTTTCATTCCACTTTCCCCAGCCTCCATTAGCCACTCTCCTGCTCTTGTCACTGTCTGCTCTAGGGACCTCATTCAGTATTTGTCCCCTGTGACTGTCATCTGTGAGTTAGCATAATGTCTTCTGCGATTCATTCATGTTGTAGCATATGTCAAAGTCTCTTTCCTTCTAAGGCAGAAGAGTAATCAGTGTCCCCTAGATTCTGCCTGTTGGGGGATGGGGTAGCTTTGACTGTTAGGCTCTTTGGAGTAATGTTCCTGTGAATGTGGACATGGTAATATTTATTTGAGTCTCTGCTTTGGTTTCTTATTTGTCCAAAGCAAGATCTCATTCTTTGACCCAGGCTGGCTGAACTCATGGTGATCCTCCTGACTCTGTCTCTTGAGAGCAGCCTATTAACATGAACTGTAGCACACGATGCGAGTGCTGGGCCGTGTGCAGTCCCACTGTTAATTTTCTTTTTTATTTTTATTTATTTTTTTGTTTGTTTGTTTGTTTGTTTGAGACAGGGTTTCTCTGTGTAGCCCTGGCTGTCCTGGAACTCACTCTGTAGACTAGGCTAGCCTCAAACTCAGAAATCCACCTGCCTCTGCCTCCCAAGTGCTGGGATTAAAGGCGTGCGCCACCACAACCAGCACGGCACCCATTGTTAATTTTCAATACAGAAACACCTGTAGTCCTTTTTACAGCCGCCTTCATGGTTTCTCCTTATTTGACAGTGTTTGTTCCTTTCTTTGCTGTGGTGCTGGGCATAGAACCCAGGGTCTTGCATATTATTAGTCAAGCTCTACAGCTGACTTACAATGGCCTCAACTTTTTTAAGGATTTATTTTATTATTACTACTACTATTTTTCAAACACAGTCTTACTCTGTAGCCCTAACTGGCCTAGAACTTGCCATATAGACCAGGCTGGCCTTGAATTTAGAATAATCTGCTTGACAAGTGCTGGGATTAAAGGTGTGTTCGACCATGCCTGGCTGATTTATTATTTTAATTTAAATTTTTATTATTGTTTTATGTATTTGTTTATTTTATTTTTCTAAGACGCAGTCTTAGAAATGTGTATCTCTGGCTGTCCTAGAATCACTATGTGGAGCAGGCAGGCCTCAAATTCACAGAGATGTGTCTTCCTCTGCCTCCTAGGTGCTGACATTAAAAGCATACACCACCATGTCCAACTTAACTGGTTTTTGTTTTGTTTTTATCTTATTTTATGTACATAGGTTTTTTGTCTGCCTATATGTCTGTGCAAAACATACCTGGTGCCCAGGGGCCAGAAGAGGCTTTGGCTCCCTTGGATTTAGAGTTGCAGGCTGTTGGAAGCCACCGTGTAGGTGTTGGGAAATGAAGCAGGGGGCCGTTCTCCTTCCACTCTGTGGGTTTAGGGATTGAACTCAATAGTCAGGCTTGGTAGTAAGTCCCTTCCTTTCCTGGGCTGTGCCATGTGGCCACATAGGACCCACGATAGCAGCCTGACTGCTGTTGAATCCAGTCCTTAGGTTTCTGCCTTGCAAGTGCTGGGGGTGCATGCATGTGCCACGTTCCCAGAGGGAGGCTCCGCTGCTCGGTCTGCAGTGGAGGTGTTCTTCTCCTTTTTGCTTTACTAAATATTGTTTTCCTTAAGTGGTAGGATGTTGGCAAATACAGCATGCAGTCAATCTCAATCTCTCTCTCTCTCTCTCTCTCTCTCTCTCTCCCTCCCTCCCTCCCTCTCTCTCTCCCCCTCTCCCTCTCCCTCTCCCTCTCCGTCTCTCTCTGTCTCTCTCTCTCCCCCCCTCCCTCTCCCTCTCCCTCTCCCTCTCCCTCTCCCTCTCCCTCTCCCTCTCTCTCTCTCTCTGTTAGATCCTGGCCTGTGTCTTTGTTCCACAGGTGATTACTATTTTCTGTTGATAAGCACTGATACAAAACAAATTTAACTATTACTAATTTTGCCTGAGAAAACACTGGTTATCATACAGATAATCTAAGTCTTTATGATATTGACCGTAGGATAACTCCAGTACAACCTGCAGGGAGCCCGGGGCCTCCTTGAATGTTCTTGCTTGAGTTACTGATGTCAGGCAGTAGAGTATGTCACAGGTACATCCGTAACACTGCCCAGGCTTACAGTCCTAGTGTTTGTTATTCTTGTTTGGTTTTGGTTTTCTCTGTATAGCCTTGGCTGTCCTGGAACTGGCTCTATAGACCAGGCTGGCCTAAAACTTAGAGAGATCCACTGTTTGTGCTTCCTGAGCGCTGGGATTAAAGGTGTGTGTCACCTCTGCCCTCCCTGTGTCTCCAGTTTTAATGTTAATTGAAAACAGAAAGTAATATTTCAGTTATGTCATGTGCAGTATAAAACTAGTTTGTGCGTTCCTCTTCAGTATAATATTTTTTTATTGTGCCACACATGTTTTCTCTGAGTCAGTTCCTCCTCTGACCATGATGTCGTATTTCCTTTATACAGACACAGTCCTTGTGATAGGCTTTCTGGTAGTAATGCTAAGAAGAACTGATAAAGAAATAGAAGGATTATGAGTTTGAGGATAGTTTAGGCCTTGTCTCAAAAAAAATTATAATTTTGATATTATAGCTAGTATATAGACTTAATCCGTCTCAATTGGTTGCTTTCTTATTTAAAACCATAGTAGCCACAGGCATGGTGGCACATGTCTATAGTCCCAGCTACTCAAGAAGCTAAGGCAGGAAAATTACTTGAGCCTAGGCATTGCTTCGAGACCCCCATCTTAAAAACAGAAACAAGGAGCCCTGAGAATTGTTGAGTGCTTCCCGTTGTATTTCTCAGATATCCCAATGTCTGTGGGTGTAATTGATCCCAGGGCCAATCCTACCCAGCTAAACACAGTGGAGTTCCTGTGGGACCCTGCAAAGAGGACATCTGTGTTTATTCAGGTAAGGCCCTGCAGTTGTCACAGCAGTCAGAAAGCTGTAGAGTGCTTCCTTAGCATGCAGGCCTGGTTCTGAGCCCTTGTACCCCATAAACCTGGTGCGGTGGTGCACACCACAAATCTCAGCACTTGGGTAGTAGGGGTAGAGAGGTCAAAGTTACGTGGTGTGTTCAAAGCAGTCTTGAGTGTGTGAGCGGGTTCCTAAAACAACGAATAAGTAACAGTAAAAAGGAATGAGGGAAATGAAACTTAAAATTGTTTTTGTGCAGGTGGACATGGTAGTGCATGCCTTTAATTCCAGCACTAAGAGATATCTATGAATTCAAGACCAGTCTGGTCTACATATAGAGCTCCAGGATAGCCAGGGCTACATAGAGAGACCCAGATCTCAAAACAAAAAAGCAAAGTGTGTGTGTGTGTGTGTGTGTGTGTCTCCTCGTGCACAAGTCTACACACTAAACACAGGTTCTTGTACTGAGCTATGCCTCTGTTTTTCAGGATTCTAGCCTCTCAAGTTCAGGCTTCTCAATATGAGGAGTTTTGAATTGTTCTTCTAATTTTCCACTGTTTATTTACTTAAATCTCTAAAATGTTTACTGTTGACTACTGCATTATATACCAGTCTTTGATCCTAGATAATCTGCCTAATCATTTTAACATGTAAATTATTCTATTTTTCCATGGTTAGCCACAAAGTTATTTTGAACATGCATAGACTTAAAGTTTGATTTGCATATGTGATTATGTCCTTTAGGCAAACTAACTCCTCGGAATTCTTTATTCCTCCTTTTTGTTGTTGTTGTTGTTGTTTCTTGAGACAGGGTTTCTCTGAGTAGCCCAGCTGTCCAGAACTCAGACCACCCTGCCTCTGCCTCCTGAATGCTGGGATTAAAGACATAGGCAACCACTGCCCTGTTTATCTGTAGTCATCTCATCCAGTATTTCATTCGATGTTACCTTTGAGGTTGCCACTATGTTAATACTTTGTATACATGATTTTAAGACTTTGAATAATGTTCCCTTGGAATAGGAATAGTCTTTGAAATATTTATTTCTGGAGGATGTGTATATGTGTTAGAATGTAGGCTTGTGCACATGAGTACAGGTGTCCACGGAGGCCAGAGGCATCTAATCCCGGTGGCTGTGAGCCATCTACGGTGGGTCCTGGGAACTGAAAGAGAACAGTCAGTGCTCATAACTGCTGAAGGGTCTGTCCAGCCTGCAGGAATAGTGTTTGAGGCTTAGAGTGAATCCAAGCTAGTGTAAGTGGTTAGCTAGACAGAGTTGACTGACCCTCTGGCCTTAGACTTTAGCAGTGACCCAGCAGATCTCCTGTTACACCTAAACTTCATGTTTACTGTGTTCTAAGCCTCACTGTGCCTGCTTTTCAAAACTAGATGAAGCTCGCTGGCGTTGTTTGTGTGGCTCCCTGCTCTCAGAGGAGTTAGTGCCTTAGACTCTCCACAGCAGCCTTTTCCGTGAGACAGGGTCTTTGATAGTTACTAGTTGCTTACATTTGTGAATTGCTATCAGGTCTCCAATTTCCTCCATTAGAGTGTAAGAGATGAAAGAATTTAAAAGATGTTCTGAATGCCTAGAGAAGGTCTTGGGTCTGGCCTGGCCAGCGGCACTGACGCTCGCTGTCGCGTCCTTTCAGGTGCACTGCATCAGCACTGAGTTCACGGTGAGGAAGCATGGTGGGGAGAAGGGTGTGCCGTTCCGAGTGCAGATCGACACCTTCAAGGAGAACGAGAACGGAGAGTACACGGAACACTTGCACTCAGCCAGCTGCCAGATCAAAGTCTTCAAGGTGTCCTGGGCTGTGTGCTGGCCTTAAAACCATTTCTGTGTGCTTGTTTGCATCTCTGTGTAGCCCTGGTACTCACTATGTGGACCAGGCTAGCCTTGAACTCAAGAGATCTACCTGCCTCTGCTGGGGTTTAAAGGCGTGAGCCACCACGCCCATCTACAAGCTCTTTCTCAGTCATCTTGTCTTTTAACATGAGGTGACATAGTAGTGAATCAACTTGTCTGGTTTTTTTTTTTTTTTTTTTTTTTTTTTTTTTTTTTTTTTTTTTTTTTTGGTTTTTCGAGACAGGGTTTCTCTGAGTAGCCCTGGCTGTCCTGGAACTCACTCTGTAGACCAGGCTAGCCTCGAACTCTCGAACTCAGAAATCCGCCTGCCTCTGCCTCCCAAGTGCTGGGATTAAAGGCGTGCGCCACCACCGCCCGGCAACTTGTCTGTTTTTAAAACTACAATCTGTCTGAGCCAGAGTCAGTGAGACAACCTCTGAAATACACCTTGATGTGGTAGGGTCTGAAAATTCAAAACAACCCAAGCAGTCACAAGAATTAGACAGCAAAAACTGACCAGTCAGGGCCAACAGCACAGACTCGGGAGCTAACTGCATTTTTGAACGTCCATTTTAGTATTTAAGCAGATGACGAAAAACTAATTCTGCTCAGACCACTACTGATCAATCAGGGCTGCAGAAGAGACTCAGGTGCTGAACTGTGACCCCAAATCAGAATGCCTGAAATCCACAAGCATCTGGTGACTTGCCTAGCATTCATGTCTCAACCTGACAACCAGGATGTCAGTAACCATGTACATATCTCTTTCTGCCAAGCAGGATGTCAGTTACCCAGAGAGGTCTCAGAAGCTTAAAACTTTATTGACCCCTATTTAGAATGGAAATTTTATTTAAAATGGCTTCAGTTTGGTTCCTTCTTACAAATGTAGTTTACCTGAAGAGTGTGTGTATATGTGTGCGTGTGGACATACATGCGCATATGTAGGCTAGAGAGATGTCTAAGTGTTTTTTTTAAAGTAGTATTTCTGGGTCAAAGTGTAAATTAGTTCATCTGTCTGTCCATCCATCCATTTTCCTTCCTTCCTTCCTTCCTTCCTTCCTTCCTTCCTTCCTTCCTTCCTTCCTTCCTTCCTTCCTTCCTTCCTTCCTTTCTTTCTTTCTTTCTTTCTTTCTTTCTTTCTTTCTTTCTTTCTTTCTTTCTTTCTGGTTTTCTCTGTATAACAGCCTTTGTAGACCAGGCTGGCCTTTAACTCAGAGAGATCTGCCTACTTCTGGTTCTGGAACGCTGAGATCAAAGGTTGAATTTTAAGCAATGTATTTGTCATTTCAGCCTAAAGGTGCAGACAGAAAACAAAAAATAGATAGAGAGAAGATGGAGAAACGGACGCCTCATGAAAAAGAGAAATATCAACCTTCCTATGAGACAACCATACTCACAGAGGTAAAAGGATTTTTCAGTTCATATTTGTATTCTCAGTCATTTATTCATCCATTCATTCTGTGGTGCTTAAGAGCAGACCTAGGGTCTTGTGCGTGTTAGGCAAGCCTGCTATCACTGAGCTACGGCCCCAACTTTGCACGCATGCACACACACCCATTCCAGCTTCGTCTGAACTTGGTTCTGAGCATTTTTTCCTGACTGCAGACGGTAAGCTTTAGTGACATGAGAACAGAGCACTTGACAGAAGCAGTGCTTTCCTGTTGCCTGAGTCTTCCTTTCTTTTCAGTGTTCTCCATGGCCTGAGATCACCTACGTGAACAATTCCCCGTCTCCCGGTTTCAACAGCTCCCATAGCAGTTTCTCTCTTGGGGAAGGGTAAGTCGGGGAAAAGCAAGTGGATTATAGTTGTACTAAATATAGGTACTGTTAGTACATTTTCAGCAGCAAGATGCTTCCAATTGGTCAGTCTTTGACCAATGTTTGTGCTGGCTGAGGTTTGGACTCTGCTGAAAAAAATGGAGTTTTATATAAAAACTTTCCCCCTCAGATAGTATCGGGTAGCATCCACCCTGTGAGGTCCCAGCTCCTGTGGGAGATCTGTAGTGATGAGCATGGTGGTCTTTGTTCCTGATACACCTTACTTTGTATGCCATGTGGTTTTTCATGTTTCATGCTTAAACCAGAGAATGGAGACTGGGAATTGGAAGCAGGCTGCACAGACAGTCAGGTTTTTTTTGTTGTTGTTGTTTTGTTTTTGTTTTGTTTTTGTTTTGTTTTGTTTTGTTTTAGGGATACTTGTAGACTATGTATCAGATATGCAGCTTGATCTTCAAGTGGGTCCAAACAACTGGAGCGGGGCTATCCTAAAGCTGCTGCATGTCTGTCTGTGGGATATGTTCTAGCAGGGCTGCCTTGTCTGGTCCCCACAGAGGCTTGTTGTATCAAGGTGGGGGATATCCAGGGGGACCTCCACTCTCTCAGAGAAGAAGGGGGAGGAGAGGATTAGCAGGATGTAAAGTGAAATAAACAGGATTAAATAAAATACTGTAGAGCTCTGAGGTATGACTCAGTAGTAGAGCATTTGGCTGCCGTGGGCTTGGTCTTCCGCATTACAATTAAGAAATACATAAAAGGAGCCAGTTTTTGGATTTGGATTTATTTATTCTGTGTTCAGCTTACTTCTTAAAAGGTGTAAAAGTAGCTTAAATGTTTGAAAACTAACAGTTAAGAGCCGATACCTTTTCTTTTGGTATTAGTTATAAAAAGAATACATATGTTTATAACCCTGATGTCATTGGTAAGTTTGAATATCAAACTTAAATTTTTCAACTAGAACAGAAATGAAGGGTTTTTTTACTTTGTTCAAGACAGGGTCTTGCTGTGTGTTGCTGTCTAGCCTTGAGTTACTTTATAGCAGGGCAGCCCTGAGTTTCCTGTAGCCCTGCAGGCTCCCTAGAGCTGGGAGTTTGTATGTTTGGATAAAGAGTTTTATCTGTGTTTCTAACTGGCCTTGAACTCCTGGAGCCAAATAATCCTGCCTCAAGCTCTCAGCTGACTACTGACTATATCTGCCCAAAGAAGAGGATTTCTTATTCTTACGGTGATGCTGTCCACTGGAGTTGATTTTAAATGTCTGCAGTTAAGGCTTGTGTTTTTCTTTTTTTTCCTCAACTTTTTCTCTCAAAGAAAATAAACATAACTGGTTAGTAGTGCAAGCTTTTAATCCCAGAATTTGGGAAGGAAGCAAAGGCAGGCTGATCTCTGAGTTCAAGGCCAGCCTTGTCTACAGAGCGGATTCCAAGACAACTAAGGCTACACAGGAAAGGTGTCCTGAGAAACAAAACAGAGGGGGGTGGAGGAGGCAGAAAACTAGCTGGGTGTAATGGTGCAAGCCTTTAATCCCAGAACTTGGGAGGTAGAGGCAGGAGGATCTCTGAGTTTGAAGCCATCCAGGGCTCTGTTATTTGGGGAAACCGTAGCTTTAGAAACCAACCCCCCCCTCCCAAAAAAAGAAAAGAAACAGGAAGCTTTAAGAAAAATGGAAAGTGTGGAGATAAATGTTAAATCACAAATTAGCACTGATTTTGAATCAACTTTAATAGTAATGGTTGGAGAGCTAGAACTATGGTTCCTTGGGTAAGAGTGCTTATTTTTCAATCATGAGAACCAGCGTTTGGATGCCAGTAGCCATGAAATACAGCAAACATTTCACAAACCCCTGTGACTCGAGCTCCAAGGCCTCCGACGCTCTCTCCTGGCCTCCACATTTAGGTATATATGCTGACACATGTCTTTGAATACTCTCTCTCTCTGACAGACAGACAGACAGACAGACAAGCTAAGTAAGTAAGTCTGAAATAAATTGGGCTGGTAGATAGCCAGAGGGTAAAGTGCTGGTCTCTCAAGTTTGGTTCCCCAGAGCCCATGTAAGGGTGGAAGGAGACTTGTCTGCACCTGCACACACCAGTGTCACACACGTACAACAATAATAAATCAATTTAAAAACAAATTCACAAGGGCTGGAGAGATGGCTCAGCAGTTCAGAGCAGTGGCTGCTCTTCTAAATGATCCAGTTCCGTTCTCAGCACCAAACGGCAGCTCACAAAATAGTAGTATTTCGGAACTGTGGTGGTGCAGGGGTATTGCAGTTGCTAGCACATGCTAGAAAAGAACTGGGTTCAATTCCCAGGAAAGCAAAATAGAAGCTTTTTGTTGTTTATTTGTCTTTGGTTTTTTGAGACAGGATCCTGTTGTGTAGCCAAGACTGTCCTGGAACTGGCTATATAGATCAGGCAGGCTTCGAACTCAGAGACCCACCTGCCTCTGCTTCCCAAAGTGCTGATATTAAAGGTGTGAGCTACCATGCTCAGCCCTATATATGATCATAGTCTATACACATAGCCACTGATATGTTTAATATAAGAGTAATATATATATATACATATACTCACACATACACATACTTAGGACTTTTTATATTCAAGTATTTTTTTCTTTTTGAACTTAGAGCCTTATGCATCCTAGGCAAATGTTTTATGCTAATCTATATTTCTATACCCCTGCAGGTATTTATTATGCCATAATTTATTCTATTGGTGTCTATTTACTGAAATTTGGTATTTTTCCTAGTTTCCTCAGTCATAAAAAAAAATGTTGCAAATGATAAAGTTTCTTTCCTTCCCTGAAGTTTCTAAGTTAATTAGCACACAGCTTAAGTGCTGAGTCAAAGAAGAGTGTTTTCAGACACAAGTAGCGATTCTCTGAGCTCTCCTATTTGAGAGCTGTCGTGACAGTGAGTCAGGAAGTGATGCACACAAAGTGTCATGGATTCACCCTTCATCTTCACTGTCTCTCCTTAGAAACGGCTCGCCCAACCACCAGCCAGAGCCACCTCCTCCAGTCACGGATGTAAGTCTACAGCCAATGTCAGTTATTTGTAGTGTGTACACTGTTGTGGTAACTGATTCTGTCACATGCCGTTCACTCACTTCACAGACGCTTCCTGACTTTCACCTCTGACCTGGAGATGTACTAGGGACTAGAAACAAGCAGGACCGTGAGGAGTTTTGTTTGTTGTTTATAGGCTTCACTGTGCAGCTCGGGCTGGCTTAGGACGAATTGAGGAGTTACCCACCTCCACCTTGCCAGTACTGGGTTCCAGGCATATGCAGCTTCAGCTGGCTGCCTTTCTTCCTCCTTTCTGAGGCTCTCACCTTGTTGCCCAGGCTGGTGTAGTGTGGTCTCCCACATACCTGCCACTACCCGATCCTGTCCCTTGTCCCTTGAATAGAAATAGCGTTCAGTCAGATAGTGAAGTGTCTCTCGTGGTTGGAGAAGACCCTGTGTGATAGAGACAGTTCGCAGTCACTAGCCAGTGTGGCTGTAGGGTGTGGAAGGAAGTGTTTGGTTGTGAGTTTTCTAATGAGGTAGCAAATGAGACTGTTGGATACCAAAGAATGCATTCTTCTTTCAGAACCTTTTGCCAACAACCACGCCCCAGGAAGCCCAACAGTGGCTGCACCGAAACCGGTTTTCCACGTTCACGAGGCTTTTCACCAACTTCTCAGGTTAGATTACCTTTTCCTTCGGCCTTCTCCAGCATGGGGTGTTCATGTCACCTCAGGTCCTCTTGGTGTCCCATATGGGATGTGTCCTGGAGTGTCTGAGTTTGTTTTTTCTGATAAAAGGAATTTCATAAAACACTTCAGACTTTTCAGCCAGCCGTAATGGTACTATGAGCAGCTTTCAGTTGGAACTCAGTTAAGCTTGAAAGTGTTTATTCTGTATAGCACTCTTAAAATGTGGTGTCTCACACCTTAAATCCCAGCACTCAGGAGGCAAAGGCTGTCTGATCTGAGTTCAGGACCAGCCTGGTCTGTGTAATGAATTCCAGGATGGCCTGACCCTGGAAACAAACAGACGTCTTTCATCTGGTACTTTATCAAGGAACAAACAGACTGAAGTCCCGCCCCCCTTGATACCACTGTACATATTACTTCCACAATCCGCTTTTGTGCAGCCTTCTGTGAGCATCTGTGTGGGAACACATGGTTGATAAGATGTCCTGAGTTGATGCTTTCATCATCTGTGTAACAGAAAAGTCCAGTCAGGAGACACACTAGATGAGTGAACACACACAGAAGTGTGTGTGGTGAGACTGGAGCCAGCCGGTGTGAGCCTGTTGGATTGTGGAAATGAATTTCAGACAGGGATAGAACTGGCCTGCTCAGTACAGTCAGCTGAAAGCACATGGCTAGGTGGAGATACAGTTAACTGATGAGGATCAGACCGAAGGTGAGGAGGCAGAGGCCAGGCCACAGGGCATTACCTGCTGTTGACATAACATACTGTAGACTGTGATGTACAGCTCATGAGGTGATGACTGTAACATCCTGAAGTGACTTGGAGTGTTTTTGCCTTATCACTAGCCTGTGTTTCTCTGTTTATCCCAGGGGCAGATTTACTGAAACTGACAAGAGATGACGTGATCCAAATCTGCGGCCCTGCGGATGGAATCAGACTCTTTAACGCATTAAAAGGCCGGTGTGTGCATACTGTTAAGATGCCAGTGAGAATGGATTTTAAATGAGCTTACATCTGGGAATTTCTCACAGTACTCCGGACAAATAAGTATAACTTGTCAAAACACTGAAAGAGAAAATTTTAATCACTGAGTAAAGACATAATGGTAGACGAAAAGTACTAACTCTCAGAAGTTGTTCTATGACCTCCACATGTACACTGATATCTGCCCCTCCTACATACACAGACACGCACATAGCATATGCATATCAGGGATTGAATTCAAGCAGCAAGAGCCTTTACCAGCTGAGCCATCTTGCCTACGGTGTAGTAATATTTGTAAATAAACAGCCCATCTAGAACCTGGCCCTCATATAAACATTACCCTTGCATCTTGGGTATTTCTGTTACTTCAAAGCCCACAACCTGCAAGGACTGTAGGAGCTGCGTGGTCACATAAAGGATCAGCGCAGTCTAGAGTTCAGTGATGTCTTGGGAAATGAGGACCCTGAAGTGCAGGTCTAAGCTGGCAGCAGTGCTCTCTTACCCTCTCCTCTTCCTCTTTTAGTGCTGAGAATGGAACCCAGGGCCTTGAGTTTGTCAGGCCAACAGTCTGCTACTCGGCTCCAGCCCCTGCCCCGGCCCCTGCCCCGGCCCCTGCCCCGGCCCCACATAGAACTTTTCAGTGAAAGCCAGAGTTTAGAAGCTTAAACAGCAAAGCCCACCGCTGAGAGATAAGGAAACAAGTAAATTGCTTTTGGCCTAGGCATTAATGGATTTCGTTTGTGTGAAGCTGACAGTCCTTTCTCTTCTCCACATAGGATGGTGCGTCCAAGGCTAACCATTTATGTCTGTCAGGAGTCGCTGCAGTTGAGAGAGCAGCAGCAGCAGCAGCAGCCACCTCAGCCACAGCCACAACAGAAGCAGGAGGATGGAGATTCAAATGGTACTTTCTTCGGTAGGTTGTTCTGGGCAAAGCAGGAAGGAAGGAGAAGAGGTGACTCTCGGTAGGTGTGGGAGTGTAGACCAGCGCAGCGTCAGGTGGACTTGAGTTGGTTGAGCTCTAATCTGTACGTGTTATTCACAGCACTGTTTCTATGCTCAACTTACTAAACCAGTTATGTCCATAGTGCTGTGGATGTCCATGTCCTCTCCGGCGCTTAGAAGGGGGTAACCAGGCTTGTGGGGTGCTTTTGGTTCACGTAGAGAAAGGAAGCTGAAGCAGAGCCTGCAGCCAGGCTGTGATCTCTGAGTCTCTAGAGATGAGCTGAGCCTGCCACGCGGACACCTTTGCACTGACTGCTGTACTTTGTTTTGCAGTGTACCATGCTGTCTATCTAGAAGAACTGACAGCTGTTGAATTAACAGAAAAAATTGCTCAGCTTTTCAGTATTTCTCCTCACCAGATCAGCCAGATTTACAAGCAAGGGCCGACAGGAATCCATGTGCTCATCAGCGATGAGGTTGGTGTCTCAGGTTCATGACGCCCCATGGTTGGTTAGCATCTGTGGCAGAGTGAGCAGCACTGCCAGGCTGGGCTCTGTGTCTGCACAGAGGTTTGCCTGTTGTAAATATTCCTTTAACAGCTGGGTAAATGGTCTTGCTATTTTGACCTGATTGACCCTGAACTTGGGTTCACATGATCTTCCTGCCTCAGCCCCCTGCCTGGGTAGGGCAGCCGGGACTGTTGGCATGAGCCACTATGTCTGGCTTAGACTTTGTTGCTTGGTTACTTACCTAATAGTTTTTTAAAAATTAATATAAAGTTGGGGTGGCAATGCACCCCTGTATCCCTAGCACAGAGTTTAGGCAAGATCATGAATTCTGGTTCATCTCTGGGTATGTTGTAAGTTCAAGGCCCACATAGCCTACGTGAGATGGTGTCAAAAAAAAAAAAAAAAAGCAAAGCCAAAAACGGGAGAGGTGGCTTGCAGTTATGAGTGTTTGCTGCACAAGATAAGGACCAGCATTCATATCCTAAAACCCGTGATTTTCAATTTAAAAAGGATGTGGTCCCCACATGCCTGTGGCCCCGGCACAGGAGGTCACTTTAGCCTGAAGTCTTCCTATACACAGGCACACGCACTAGATAAGCTGGGAGAGATGGTGCTTCTTATAATCCCAGCGTGTGGAGGAAGGCAGGAATGTCATCCCTGGGTGTGGCCCAAACACTAGTTTTCTTGTTTTTTTTCCCCAGTCCTGGAACTGAAGTCAAGTCACAGGAGTGATTTAGGAGCTGGAGAGATGGTTCGGTGGGTGAGAGCACTGGCTGCCTTTCCAGGGGGACCTGAGTTTGGTCCCTAGCAACTACGTGGTGGCTCACAGACACCCATGATTCCTTCTTCTAACCGTCGTGGCACTGGCAGGCACATGACGTAGAAGTACATGGTGGCAAAGCATTCAGACACAGAAAATCTAAAAGTGGCTTACTGAGTTACTACAGTTACTCAAAAAATTCAAGTGTGCGTCACATGTGCACATGTCCATGCAGGCCGGTCCCCTTCCATGCACATGCATGTGGAGACCGGGGGTCACTGGCATGTTCCCATGTGCTCAGGTTTTTATGTGAGTGCTAGGAGTCTAAACTCTGGCTCTTACTCAAGCTGCACAGCAAGCATTTTACCCCGACTTGGCTATCTTTCTGCCCCTTGGCTGTCTTTATGGGTTATACATTTTTGAGACAGGGTTTTTAGACCCAAGGTTAGCCTTAAGCCCTGTATAATGAGGATGACCAATGATATGTGTGTGTGTGTGTGTCTGTGTCTGTCTGTCTGTCTGTCTGTCTGTCTGTCTGTCTGTCTTCTCTGTATTTTACAGGTAGTTTTGAGCTGCCTGATAGTGGCAGGAACTGAACTCTGGAAGAACAGCAAGCACCCTTAACCATTGTCTAGCCCTTCCCATAGTTTTTAATTTTACATAATGTTTTTATGCTTGAAAATCTCATTGTCCTGTTGTACTTCTTGAAGCAAAAGATTGTTTTAGCCAAATAACCTGCTTCAATAAAAGCCAAAAACATTTCTGAATAGAGTTATCATCACACTTCACAGAAATGATCAAATACTAACAAGTTGGTATTTATGAAGCACTAAGTTAAAAGGTTTAGGTGTACCTCAGAGGTAAAACATGCTTAGCATATCAAGGCACTGAATTTAATCCTTAAAAGAGAGAAGAGGTAATGTGCATCTTGAGGGGGGGCAGTTAGTTTGGGGTTAGTTTTGGTTTGGGATTGTTCGTTTAGGACTGAGATCTCATGTAGCAGGCTGGCCTCAGACTCAGAGTGTTGGCGGATGATCTTGACCTCCCTGTCTCCTGCCTCTGTCTTCCAGCGGCACACACTAGCATCGCTTTCAGTGTGTGCAGTGCTGGGGGCAAACACAGGCTTCATGCACCATGGGCCATGTCCCAGCCCTGGACTCTGTCTGCCGAGGAGTCCCTTTGCCCTTTTCTCTCTGGGACAGCCCTGGACTTGAGATCCTCCAGAGAGGCTTGTTTTCACGGTGCTGTCTGCTGCCTCATTACACTGCCAGAGCTCAGACGTTGAACTCGCTTCTAGAGAAAAGGTACTGCAAGCAGAAGCAGGTGCACTGCGCTGCACAGCCGGGGAGCAGCCAGGCTGGCAGCAGCTTCTTGAGGGGCCACTTTCCTTCTGCATTAGTTTTTGGGGTTTTTTTTTGTTTTTGGTTTTTCGAGACAGGGTTTCTCTGTGTAGCCCTGGCTGTCCTGGAACTCACTCTGTAGACCAGGCTGGCCTCGAACTCAGAAATCCACCTGCCTCTGCCTCCCAAGTGCTGGGATTAAAGGCATGTGCCACCACTGCCCAGCTTTTGCATCAGTTTTAAAGATAGAACCTGGACAGAAGCTAGAGAGATGGTTCAGTGGTTTAGAGCACGTGTTTCTCTTTGAGAGAACCTAAGTTCAGTTTGCTCACAACCTACTGCATCTCCTTTTTCTCTTTCTTTTTTTTTTTTTTTGTTTTTTTCTTTTTTTTTTTTAACATTTATTTATTATATGTAAGTACACTGTAGCTGTCTTCAGACACCCCACAAGAGGGCATCAGATATGATTGCAGATGGTTGTTAGCCACCATGTGGTTACTGGGATTTGAACTCGTGACCTCTGGAAGTGCAGTCAGTGCTCTTAACCACTGAGCTATCTCACCAGCCCGCATCTCCTTTTTCTGATTTCCACAGGCACCAGGCATGCATGTGGTTCACAGGAAAGCATGCAGGCAATCCTTAAAAAACAAAAGTAAATCTTTAAAAAACAAAAAAAAACAAAAACCCAGAAGCTCCTTTGTTTATTTTCTCCAGACTGCTCGCAGGTGCCTGCTGACAGAGCTTGGTGTGGCAGCGCCTGCCCTGTGTCACTTACGGGATGCTCTGTGTCTCCAAGGCTGTGGAACAGAAAGTGACCTAATTTGAAGCAGAAATTAAATACATTTGTTTATTTCTTTATTTTATTTTTTTTTTGAGACAGGGTTTCTCCGTATAGCCCTGGCTGTCCTGGAACTCACTCTATAGACCAGGCTGGCCTTGAATTCAGAAATCCGCCTGCCTCTGCCTCCCAAGTGCTGGGATTAAAGGCGTGTGCCACCACCACCCGGCAATACATTTATTTTTTAACATGATTTGTTCAGCATTCTCAAATACAGTTTCCTTTCATGTTGTTTTGGAAGAAATGACCTTGTAGGTTATTTTAGTTTACATGTAGGCTAGTTTTGTAAAATTACAATTTATTTTTGAAAAATTCTTGAATTTATTTCAGATGTTACCATATGAGTACCTCTTCCAAAGTAAGAGATATTAATATTAAGGTAACATTCAGAATTAGTTGCTGTTCTGGCTTACAGACCTTTATGGGCTCATCGATGTGAAGCTTGCTGACTAATGAGTATTTCTGAACTAAGCTAAGGTGCAGTGTTACCCTTCCCGTGTTCACAATCTCAGCTATAAGCACAAGATTCTTACACCTACTTCAGTACAGTGTCATGAAAAGTGTCATATTCAAAATAAACTTGGCAAACCCAGGTTATTCATCAGCAACTCTTGTTGATCTTTTCAGATGGTACAGAATTTCCAGGAAGAAGCCTGCTTTATTCTGGACACAATGGAAGGTAATAAAACAGTAAAACATACTTTAACATGTATTGTTTGTGTGTGTGAGGTGGGTTATCACATGCCAGGGCGCACACAGATCATAAAAGAACCTGCAGGACTGGTTTTGTTCTTCTACCATGTGGGTTATGGGAACCAAACTCAGATCATTAGGTTTGGCAGCAAGTACCTTACACCACTGAACTGTGTGGCCAGCCCCAGATGAGTGTCTTAAAAGAAGGGTGTGTGCGTGTGCACACACATGCACACACTCACAAATCTGGGTGTATGTGTGTGCACATAGACATGTGGAGGCCAGTGGACAGCCCCAGGTGTTGCTACTTAGGCACTACCCACTTTTTAAAAATGTTATTTCTTCTATTTTAATATAATTCTATTAGAATTAGATTAAAATTTTTATTTTAATGTGTATAGGTGTTTCACCTATATATTGTAATGCTCTCATAGGTCAGAAAAGGGCCTCAGACACAGCCTGGAACAAAGTTAGAGGTTTGAGCTGCCATATGGGTACTGATTCCCACCTTTAAGAAAAATCAGTGTGTGTGTGTGTGTGTGTGTGTGTGTGTGTATGAGCACATGTGCGTGCATATGCCTAAGTGTATATTAATGTGTTCCATATTAAAGTAGGGAACTGATCTCCATAAGTGGAGATAAAAGACTGCTGTACACCTCCATATGTGTACTGGGAACTGAACCTAGGTCCTCTCAAAAGATTAGCAGGAGCTCTGAACCACTGAGTCATCTTTCCAGCCCCATAGGGAATTTTTCCTTTGGGTTTTGGTGTGAGACTTGTCATTAGACACTGTTCTTTGTAAAGTGTCTTCTTGCTGCCATCAGGAAAATACTTCTGACAGCTCTGCCATTTCTTACACCTCCTCTCAGCAAGTGTGGAAATCAGGGTTGTTTTTGTACCTGTTTAATTTATGGTGAGGTCCCATCCTACTAAGCCCCAGTATAAGGTGACAATATTGAAAGCCAATTTGCTTAATTCCAGCACACAGGAAAAAGAGGCATGGAAGTAGCCTCTTCTACATAGGCAGTTCCAGGACAGCCAAGGCTACATAGACCCTGTTGGGAAAAACGTATTTAAAAGCCAGATACAGTGGCATGGGCCTGTCATCGCAGCACTTAGGGAATGGAGACAAGAGAACCAGAGTTCAGGGCCATCCTCTACATAGTGAGCTTGAAGCAAGCCTGGGCTGTGTAAGATCCTGTCTCAGAAACAAAGGGGTGGCTCAGAGGTCAAGAGCTTGTGTGGAGGTTCTGGGTGTGGTTCCCAGCACCTGTATTAGGTGGATAATAGTTGCCTGTGACTACAGTTCCAGGGGACCCAACACTCTGACCTTAGAGGGCACAGCAGGTGCACATATGATACACATAGAAACATGCAAGCGACACACACACACATACTAAGAGTAAAGCGACTCTTTAAAAAAATAAAAAATATATAAGATCCCTGGGGTAGATGAGTAGGTGAAGATGTCTAGCACCCAGCGGGAGGCCTGCATTCATGGTGGAAGGGAAGAATTACCCAGCTGGGAGGCCTGCATTCATGGTGGAAGAATTGTCTTTCACAGTCTCCTCTGAGCTCTAAGTACATGCCATGGCACCCCTACCCCCAAATAAGAGTAATGATAAATCTTTGTAAAGCATTTAATATACCTGCCCTTTCTGACAGTATTGCCTTACAATATAATGCATTGTAGAACACCGTCTTGGTGAGCTTGTGCCTGATGTAAGCTGTTGTCACTGTGTGCCATTGTGCACATCATTCTGTGTATCTCTGGAGTTACGCTTTTATTCTACTACCTGCTCTGCCTCCCGAGTGCTGGTGTGTGCCACCACACCTGGCCATTCAGTTTGACTTTTGGTTTTTCAAGATAGAGTTCCTCCGTCTAGTCCTGGCTGTTCTGGAACTCACTCTGTAGACCAGGCTGGCCTCTAACTCAGAGATCCCCCTGCCTCTGCCTCCCGAGTGCTGGGGTTAAAGGTGTCTGCCATTTACCCGGCTCATTTTGACTCTTTTGGTTTTTTCGAGACAGGGTTTCTCTGTGTAGCCCTGGCTGTCTTGGAACTCACTCTGTAGACCAGGCTAGCCTTGAACTCTTGAACTTAGAAATCTGCCTGCCTCTGCCTCCCAAGTGCTGGGATTAAAGGCGTGAGCCACCACTGCCTGGCTCATTTTGACTTTTTATTCTCTCACACAAGATAGTTTTGCCCTTGGTGTTTTAGAGGAGGCTAAAGATCACTTTCTCTCTCCCATCTTTACAGCAGAAACCAGTGATAGCTATCATGTCATTCTCAAGTAGGAGAAGCCTCCCACATTCAACAGCTGCTGCCGCCTCCACCTCTTGACGACTGCCTTCACCTCTTCACCTTCTGAAGGGGACATGACTGGAGATTAAAGGTCTTCAGGAACCTGGCACATCTGAATGTTTGGCGGAGGGCAGGAGGGTATCCAGTGCAAGGCAAGCAGGCCCTAAAGTGGAATCCCAGAGCCCTGTATTGGCCCCTACTGTATGATGTCCTCAGATGGCCAGACATGGAGCTCAACAGTTTCCTTAGTTTCTGGCCCCTGTTGATACCAGTAAGCAGTCATTAGGGTTTATAGAGGGCAGGGTGGTAATGAGAGTTACGTGACATTTTCTAGAAAGATGTTTAATTTTGTGATCTACAGCTCTGACATTTTCCCAATATAAAAGTGAACATCTGTCTTCATGAAAACCAAGCTATCTTTTTTGTATCAAGCCTGTTGTGAGCTCTGTTCTGTTCATAACTATGAGGAGAAAGAATCTCTCATTACGTTTTTTTGAGACAGAGTTTCATGTTCTTGCCTCCCAAGAGCTGGGATTAGAAGCTTATGTCACCTGGCCTGTTTCTGCAGCGCTGGACTTGAACCCAGAGCCTCACTTGCTAGGCGAGCGCTTTCTCCAACTGAGCTCCAGCAGGCCCCTCCCTTGTGTTAAGACAGTCTCCAGATTTCTATTTTGGTTCACCTGCAGTACCACAACTGAGAGTGGCTGTATGTATTGGGGTGAACCAAATGATGAGTCCCATGGTGGACGGGTTATCTTGTTTTATCCCCTTAATTAAAAAGCCCAAAACAACTGGGGACACACTGACTAGAGGGTGAGGAAATCCAGGTGTGGTAGTGGGGTCTCTCAGATGCCTGCCAGCCTTTGCTGCCTGTGCTCATTGTTGGTTCTTTCTGGGGCTCTGCTGGAACCTCCTGGACTAGCCACTGAAGGAGGGCAGACATCCCTGAATATAGAGATAATGAAGCCCCAGAGCAGACAGACACTCGGTGTCATACTAACCTCAGCACAGAGCTGGAGGTGAGAGAGGCAGGAGTGTCTGAGCCCAGGTTTTTTTGTTTCTGAATGTTACTCTCAAGCTGGTTAAGTAAATGAGCTACTCCTCCCTGCTCTCCCCTCCCCTGTCTTGTTTTGGCATAGTGTTTTTATTTTTTAATGTAAGCTTTATAAAAAATACACTTTTTCCCCATTCCAACTCATACTGTGTTTATGTTCAAATGACTGTGTGTGCATGTGCAGATTTTAAATCACTTAGGTCCTCCTTTTTCACATGTATAGTTTGTTTTGGGTTGGTTTTCCAAGAAAATGTTTCTCTGTGTAGCCCTGACTATCCTGGAACTCACTCTGTAGACCAGGATGGCCTTAAACTCGGAGATCCACCTTCTAAGTGCTGGGAATATAGGTGTGCACCACCAGCGTCAGGCCACATGTAAAGTTTTACCAGAAATTTCCTTAAATTTTGTTGAGATGAACAAAGATAATGTTTAAAGATTCTGTATTAAATTTGAATTTATTTGTGTTTTTGAAGTATTTAATAAAGCTTAGATTTTTTTATAGAGAGTTTTTAGTTGTTGCTGCTGTTGTCCATTAAAATCAACCTGTTATGTGGTTTCTAATTTCTTTTGGTCTGAAACAAGTTTAAATCCTGGAAATCTGAAAATTCCCCAGTGATGCAAGCCCCTTGACGTATTAGGCCACTGCTTCCGAGTGAGTGCTCAAGTGTCCCATTTTGAGGTGACACTTCTAGTTGCATCACGTTCCAAGGACTGGTTCCCAGTTGCTGGCTGTCCTTGGCAAGTCACTGTTGGCTGCTGTCTCCTGTCCGGTTGGCAAATGAGAGAGGTAAACTAGGAAGACAGCCTGTGTTGTGTGATTCCAAGATCTGCCGCTACTCTGGCTGGCTTAGCACTTGAACCAGCTCAGGCTGGTTCTGAACTAGTGCCTCAGCCTCACACATGCTGAGATTAAAGATATTTGACACCATGCGTGGACTTGGACTTCTTTCCAAATACATGAATCTCTGAATCTCGTGAGGCACAACACAAATGATGCATATAATTCTATTAATATATTGGCTATAAGTTGCATACCTTAGGAGGCTAGAGAGATAGCTCAGTGGTTAAGACCACTGGCTGCTCTTCCAGAGGACCTGGATTCAACTCCCAGCACCCACATGATGGCTCACAATCATCTGTAACTCCAGTTCTAGGGAACCTGATACTATCTTCTGGTCTCCAAGGGTTCCAGGTATACATGTGGTATATAAACCCATACACATAAAAGGATAATTTTTTTAAAAGTTGAATGTCCTAGTTTTTACTTGAAATTCTTTTTTTGTTGTAGTCTTCAAAATTACAGAAGTGCGGGAGGTTGTGTGGTGGAGACCGTCTTGCTTTTTTTTTTTTTTAATTGCCATGAGAAAACATGACAGCAAGACAACTTGTAAAAGAAAAGTCTTTTTTGTTTTTTTGTTTTTTTTCGAGACAGGGTTTCCTATGTAGCCCTGGCTGTCTTGGAACTCACTCTGTAGACCAGGTAAAAGAAAAGTCTTAAATTTAGGGGCTCATGATTCCAGAGGGTTACCGTCCATGGCTGTCGTGTCTGAAAGCATAGCAGGAGACAGGCAGACATGGGGTTGGAGCCATAGTTGAGAGCAGGAAGAGGGTTCGGCAAACCTACTCACTAACTGGAAATATGGGTTCTTGAAACCTCAGCCCATCCCTAGTGACACAGGTCCTATAGCAAGGCCACATCTAGTCCTTCCCAAACTCTTCCACCAACTGAGGACCAAACATACAAGCCCACGAAGACCATTCTCATTTCAAACTGCCAGAGACCCTGTCTCATTAAAAAAATAAAAATCATCACAAGAAAAATTTCCTCAACACATTTATGCACATACATAAATTTTAGAAACTCATAACAACACATGATTTTTTTGTAGTATTTAACATATTTTGAGTATCTTTCTATACTAGTTCTACATTATTGTTTTGTAAAGTATATTCTGTGTTCCCAAGCCTCTGTCTTCCCAGTTCACTAACCTCCCACTCTTGAAAGTGCCCTTCTTCCAAATAAACTGCCTCTATTTCTGCGTGTGGTGTGTATGTGTTTGTGGTGTGTATGTGGTATGTGTGTGTGGTGTGTATGTGGTATGTGTGTGTGGTGTGCATGTGGTATGTGTGTGTGGTGTG